AGACTTAAGCAAATTGACTTTAGAAAATCCGATTGGACTCGATTTACTTATTAAATGATAACACTTGCTTCGATTTTGATAAATATTCTGGAAGAGATCGCTGTTTTAGCGATAAGGCCGCCTCTTGTACATAACTCTTTTTATATATTCCTTGTAAATTTTTTTCTTTTTTCTCTTGTGGGTGTACAATAAAGAGTATTTATTATTATTATTATTCTTCTCTAAATTAACTGCTTTTTGATAGCAGTATCGTGAAAGTCTTGTGGAGATTTCAATTATGTTATCATAAGGAAAGCTGAATATGTATTTTTTTGTTGCAGGTAAAGAGCGCATTTTATTTCGAGCTTAATAAGTGAAATGTAAGTAGGTAGACGGGTTTCAGGTTAATCGAAACATATAATGTGTCCAATGAACGTACGAAAACAATTGTTAATGTCATTGTGAGATTTTTCGATATTCCAGTCTTAATAAAAGGTCTTTGGTCAATTACAGTGTCGAAAATTTTAATGATGTACTTAATTTTATTTTATTTTATTTATTATGCTTTTAAAAATTTATAAGAATAAACGCGCTTTGGACACATAATACGTTTTAAATGTTGTAAATAATAGTGACGTCAAAGACGGAGCAGCAAAAATAATTAAGCTATAATAATAAATAGTTCTAAGTTCTAATAAAATAATGTTCATTCATTACATGATATAATAGCTTATGTATATTTTTTGTATGCAGGTTTATATTACAGTTAATTCAAACTATAAATTACTAGCAGAACCCGCGGCTTCGCTCGCGCTAAAACTACGAGAAATCTTTAAAAAGATAGTTTCATACAAACTTTCATCCCCTATTTCACCCTCTTATAAGAAGAATTTTGAAAAATGCTAAAACACGTATTTATTTAATTTTATTGAAGAGCATTAATACCAAGTTTCAAGTAATTCCGATCATAAATATTCTTTTGGATTGTACTCGTATTATAACGTGTTTTCCCGTAGGAATTAGAAGATCTCCCGCGGTAAAAAGTAGCCTATGTCACTCCAACTATCTCCATACAAAAAATCACGCTAATCCGTCACTTCGTTTCGACGTGAAAGAAGGACAAATAAACAAACAAAGAAACACACTTTCACATTTATAATATTAGTATGGATTGTATAATATCAGGTTTAGGTATATATTATTATAATGTGAGTTAACATGAAAAATTCTTTTTCGGTTTCTATACAGTATCGCATACACATCGACCTCATCTATATGCGAATATTTAATGTTTTTCTGTATATACAGTACTTAGACCACCATCGGCGCAGCATCCATTATAAAAAATAAATAATGTAACTCAAAGTAGAGATAACTTGTAATACTATGAACACAGCCATATTGTATCTTAAAACCGTTTTCTAGCTCTTATGTTTAATGTAGTAAGAAATATATTAAATGTCGATGCCGAGATCTTACACAAACATGCCACCTTCACGCTGTATTCTCTGACTGACGCTACTGCAGTAAAAGAATTTTTGCACTTTTAATTCCTTCTAAGATGTAACGAACATTAGTCTTGGAGACAGGTTTCTTGCTTGTAATCGTTATTTTGTTAAGAATCTTAAAAACTTGAGGAATGTACCTACGTTTTATAAATATATGTGTTTTTTTATGATATATGAATTGAAAGTTAATTTTGTCTTGTTCTTATAAATAATACATAATGAATTGATATGTCGATATGTAATCATATCATATTTGGAATTTAATTTTAGCTCACTTTTTGATCAATATCAAATATATGAGACAACCTAAAAGTTATCATATTATGGGATTAGAACTTTTACAAAGTTCCTAGACTTTATATACGCGCTCTGTCACTTTACCAAACTATCTATTTATCTATACATATAATAAAATTCTAACTAAGCCGAATCTGTACATTAAATATTTTTTGGAAAATCTTATTGAAATAGACATTATTTTCGATACAGAAGCCGAATCAATAGTTTTTAGAATTTTTGTCTGTCTGTCTGTCTGTCTGTTACCGCATTACGGAAAAACCACTGGAGGGATTTAGATGAAATTTGGTATGGTGATAGCTGGTTATCCGGGTCAACATATAGGATACTTTTTACCCCGGGAAAACGTCTCATTTCTAAGAAAAAATACAAAAACTGCAATGTAAGAGTATACTATATATATATATATATATATATATATATATATATATATATATATATATATATGTAAAACCTAAGAACTTGATTTTTGGTCATCTGAATGCGGGCGGAGCCGCGGGTAGTGCTAGTTCTACATAAAATTATGTTTTATGATACGTTACGTATATTCCCTTTTATGGGAACAATTTATATGAAAACTTCATTACTAGAGCTCTCATCAAAAATAAGGATATAGGTATTTTATAATGAATGCACAGTTTCATTATCAACCGCTCTCATGCAATCGATACCCTTAATTGGCCTCAGTTATACTCTACAAAGTAGTTTTAACTTTAAAGTAAAATATGAAGCGCAGCTTTATTACTTTATTGTATGCAAACAAGAAAATTAACGACACGACTTCATTTAATAACAGTTAAAGTTTTACGGCATCTAGGAAAACTAGTTAGTGAGAGCGGGATAAGCCTTGATTGTGTCTGATTTAACATCGTTGCTACTTATTATATCGTTTGCTTCTTGTTGCAATTTATTTGTCAGTTTACTAAGATTACTTGGTATTAGTGTTTACAATATAATTCTACACGATATATTTGAAATACAAGTCATGCTTATATACTTGTCCTTTTAAATTAAACAACTTACGACTACTACTTGGTTACGGGAGAAATCATGATTGATGTAATGCATTCGGAACGTCGGAAACCAAAAATCAAAATAAATTCGTAAAAAATCCGAAAAGATAGTTTTATGTGAAATATCAAATATTCGCGTAAATCTAGAAAAGTATTATATAAACTTGGCCTTGTCCTCAGCTTTGCGTGAAATGCTAATATAATAAACGTTTGTTATTCTTTTAATGGAACAATGTGTTCACGGGAGATTTTGCATAGAGAGTTTATTGGTCAATAAGTAACACAATCCTATGAGATGTTATAATCTATACATATAATAAAATTGTAACCAAGCCGAATCTGTACATTAAATATTTTTTGGAAAATCTTATTGAAATAGACATTATTATCGATACAGAGGCCGAATCTATAGTTTTTAGAATTTTTGTCTGTCTGTCTGTTACCACATCACAGAAAAACCACTGGAGAGATTTTGATGCAATTTGGTATGGTGATAGCTGGTTATCCGGGTCAACATATAGGATACTTTTTACCGTGGGGAAAATATGTCATTTCTGAGAAAAAATGCAAAAACTGCAATGTAAGAATATACTAATCTGTAAAACCTAAGAATTTGTTTTTTTGGTTATCTGAAAGCGGGCGGAGCCGCGGGCAGTGCTAGTTTTTTAATAAACCACATCAATACGTTTTCGTGGAACATTAATATTCTCTTTCTCAAATTTTACGTAATTGGAGAAAAACCGTAGTATGAATAAAATAAGAATAAAGCTGTAGAGACGAGTTATATTTTATGCTATCTATTGTTGGCAATTTCAATTTTACGATATATGCACTTTTCAATTCCAGTAATATATTTTAGGACATGCTGCTTTTGTCCAATTCTACGAGTTAGCTGGTTAGTTATATAAAAACTTGCAATACGTTTAAGGTAATAAAAACATCTCGGAGACCATGTTCGGAAGCAGTTTCTTCTATGCGGTTCGGCCAAAAGCGGCATATTCACATTTTGCGGTCACAGTCACAAGTTTCTGAACTTGACGCAAGTTTTATTAGCGATGGTGTACACTTGATTCTAGTTTATAATTGTTATGTAATATGAAAGCTTGAACTTGAAATAGTTTTATTATTATAAAAAATAGAGTAATAATTAATATCGCTCGATTTCAATGCTATATGCAGCTCAGCTGGTAGTTTTTTATTGGCCTTCTCGCAGCTCGTCAAACCTGTTTTTTATTTGTATATTTGTTATATTATAAATATTGTATATTTGCTTTTTAATATTAAGTTTATTAAAAAATGTAATGAGTTCAAAATCACAGCAAGGCAATCATTTTTCTACATTAATTTTGTATTAGATATACAATTTTTTTTACGCAGAATCAAGATTTTTAAAAGAAAGATAAGAAAAAATTTACTGACCAACACCTGTTTTTCACAGATCACAGTGTAGGATGTATTCAATATAGAATACATTAATTTCTAAGTAGTTATTTTTTACATGAACTTCAATTACGTGTGTACACAGTCCTTTAGGGGAGATGTGACTGAACGAATGCGGAAGCCTTCTACCGTTTAAGGAATGGACCATCTCTTCATGCTATACAATCGTCGAGGATAATAAGGCAGATGCATTATGCGGAACATCATTATATCGGACGGTTTTGAGAATAAATTTTTAAATTTTCACAACTTATAGTATAATACACAATACACACATATACGTATAAAAAAGCTCGCGCACTAGGCAGCCTGGCTGCGGCAGCCAGACTGCGGCAATCAAAAAATTGAGCAGCCAGTTATAGCAGCCATGTCGACGGCCAGTTGGGATCATTCCGTGTAGCGATATGGACGTGCAGGATGTAATTATTAAGTTGTATATATTTTTGTAAGCCTTTTATAAAACCCTTATTTTGATACCCCTCAATAGGTTTTGATAAAAAAATTTTGGAGACAATATGGCGTCAAATATCGGCCATTTTAATTTTTATAATTTTGATATACAAAGTGTCACTCTCACAATTAAGACGAATCTAACGGCACCTCTCAAGCTTTAGCTTGATGCATTTTAATCTATCAAGCCATTTAGGCTCCAGGGCGTGCCAAAGAAATATACTTACATATTATGTACATACATATTACATACACCAAAAACATAACTCTGGCGCAGTCGGATAAAAATGGTGTATATTTTTCATATTATTTATTCCTTACATATGGTAATACATCTGGCTGCTACAGCCAAGTGCGCGGAGACTGACGACAGCCACATACATTCGCCTACACTCGCTCTGGCTGCGCGCAGCCAACGGGCTGCCGTGCAATCAGGCGCGTTCTGATGGCAGCCACAGTAAAGCAGCCATGGCTGCCTAGTACGCGGGGTCCTATACGCCGTCATATGTTCGACTGGCTGCCGCAGACAGGCTGCCAAGTGCGCGGGGGCTCTAATGATACGAATGAACGAATACTACGACACGTACGTGGCATGACATTAAGAGTAAGAAATAAGAGTAACTTTTTATTAAAAAAAAGGAGCTTGGAGCTTTTGATTGCAAAATTATTATATTGCTTCAATAAATTAGTTTTGAATAAGATTATGGTTAATTATAAAGACATAACACATAATTTATTGTTCTTAAGTAATTAATGTGTTCAACGTTCATATCTTTATGCAAGTTATTTCAATATTAGATCTTTGGCCGGAAAGCCTCAAATATTCTTAGTAATATCTCATGCTGTGAGTGAGTTGGAATGCCAATACTAACAGACCATCATTGGTTGAAGTCAAGTTGAAGGAAATTGACACCGATCTTTGTCGCGTCGACGAGGTCGTGACCCCCAGTAAAGAAGAGGTTCCTCACCATGTTTACGAGCAAAGATCAAATAGAAACGTTTCCTATCAGAATAGCCGTCCTCAGATCACTTTCATTATTATTTATAGCTGTGCTAGTGACCATAAAACAGGCATAGATGATACTACAAAACTAGCCGGTCGACTATATTGCATTCTGTTAATATATTTTCCGCTTTTATATGATAAAATACTGTGGGTATATAAAGATTAAGTTATGAGTTTTTCGTAACTGGTTTTTGATACTGTTCTTAAATATTGACCTCAAAAGTATTTTGTTTTAGCTATTAATGATCTAATTTTTTTAATTAGTTTTTTCTTCATCAATACATTAAGTTAAATTTTATATATTACTAGCATTGCCCGCGGCTCCGCCCGCGTTCAAATGAAGAAACACCAAATTCTTAGGTTTTACATATTAGTATACTCTTAAATGCAGTTTTTGTATTTTTCCTCAGAAATGAGTTATTTTCCCGCGGAAAAAAGTACCCTATATGTTGACCCGGATAACCAGCTATTACCATACTAAATTTCATCAAAATCCCTCCAGTGACTTTTCTGTGATGCGGTAACAGACAGACAGACAGACAAAAATCTAAAAATTATAGATTCGGCCTCTGTATCGATAATAATGTTTATTTCAATAAGATTTTCCAAAAAATATTTAATGTACAGATTCGGCTTAGTGACAATTTTATTATATGTATAGGTAATATACATTAGCGCTGCCTAAAAGTCTAGAAAGCGTGTCAATTATATGTGAAAAGTAGGCGTATATCTCAATTACGCATTTAGCGTAAACAAGAAATATGTCATTGGATAGATTTATTGTGAATGTACGGAAACAATTAAATTCGACTGTAAGTAGGACAGTAACAATAAGTAGATTTATGGCTTTGATTTATTCAGCAAAAGGATTAAGTTTTAATGTTTGATTTTATGTCATAAATTATAGTATTATTTGTTGAATACTCATTTGTTGTTATATTATGGATACATAAATAAAACAATGCTTTAAACGTTCTTCACGCCATGTTAAAGCAAATGAAAATGTAAATTTTTTTTTTTAAATAAATATCTGGACCGAGTTCCAAAAGTATAAATAAATAATATTGAAAATATGGGTGATCACAGTATAACTAATTTTACTTTGAAAAAACCGCAAGCCAAAGATCGCTTGTTGCGTCCACCACGTCGTTTAGAATTCAATTTCCCGAGCATCATTAAAAACTGTGGGGAACCAAACGATTAATTGAAAATGTTAACGTATCTACAGATGCTAACCTCAGTAAATGGATATTTACAATCAGACGGAATTATTCTTTTTCAATATAATATTTTTTAACAATTATTGCCAAACGCGTTTCTAAAGTGTTGAATAATTAAATAATAATTTATGAGGATTATCATAATTTTATAAGTCACTAGAATTGCCCGCGGCTCCGCTTGCGTTCAGATTCTTACCAAAAACCTAATTCTTAGGTTTTACATATTAGTATACTCTTACATTACAGTTTTTGTATTTTTTTCCAGAAATGAGATATTTTTCCGCTGTAAAAAGTATCCTATATGTTGACCCGGAGCTAAGACCATATAAAATTTCATCAAAATCCGTTCAGTAGTTTTCTGTGATGCGGTAACAGACAGACAGGCAGACAAAAATTCTAAAAACTATAGATTCAGCCTCTGTATCGATAATAATGTTTATTTCAATAAGATTTTCCAGATAATATTTAATGTACAGATTTGACTTAGTTAGAATTTTATTATATGTATAGTAGATTTTAAAACTTAAAAAAAAGAAACTAATTGGTATTTTTTTAATGGGAGCTATTTTAAAATACTTTAAGTTGTTCCTGTGTGGGAAATCCTTCCAACTCGAGGCTGACCCTTTTTGCGGACCTCGGTTATATTATTTTACTGTCATTGTAACCTTATCAAACAGTGGAAAACATAAAAGAATTCTCGAATTCAATTTATATTTATTCATTTAACTGTAACACCATTTCGAGCTTATCTTATTGTATTTTCCCAAAGCAATTTCAGCGTTCACCTTTTCAGTATACTCTGTTATTTTATAAGAAAATTAATATATAAGAAAATATTTAGTATAATTGAAATTTAAGGCTTGGCATAATAAGAAACGAATAAAATAAGCGTCTGTTACAAAACAAGTTATATACTTTAATCAGTTTACATTTAATTCTACTCATCGTCAACTAGTTGCCCGCTCTCGCTTCGCTCAGACGCGACTTACAGGTAACTTTTTCCAACAAAACATACATACATATATATTATATACGTATATCCCTACTTTTTACGCCGGTCAGCCACTTAATGTTCTGGCATAAAAATCAGACTATCACATTGTAGTGTTGCAATATAGTAAGGTAAAGAAGCAAATATAAGATATATGCTTGTGAAAATCAATGAATTAACAAACGCACTTTCTCATTTATATATTTAGTGCAACTGATTCAGGAAGACGTTAATATAACGCCAACATTAAGTGACAATACTAAAATATAGTATGAGTTCAATTAATATTCCTAGCGTAGAAAGCAGAACGTTATATAGCATACCGTTTATACCATTTTAGTGCAAGAGCTAGGTAATAAAATGGTGCACCCATACACAAATCTATCTGATTTTAATTGAATACATACCAGTCTCACACCTAGCCTGTTGGTATTGACGCTTTTATATCTGATTGTGATATACTGTTAGAACTTAATCTATATTATTCAATTAAAGACTACGTACATATTAATTTGAAATGCAATAATTGTTGAAGTATTAGAAAGTATTGGGTATTTTTTCGTAAATCTACTATACGTACATGTGTACACGAGACCATGCGTATACGAGATTGGCTTGTTCTTTTTTAGTTTCCTTTTTATTTTCCAATTCTCATTGTTAATTTTGATCTGGGTATAAAACTATGTACTGCCATAAAGACAGACCGTAAAATTAGGTACATTTGCAATCAATATTGTTGAAACGTGATAAATTATATGGAAAATCCGACGATTACTACGTATGTAAGTGAAGAGCGCATAAAATCTAGCTATAAATATTTTAAATAGTGAAAACGCCGTAAACCTAAATGATCAATATTAAAATTCCCTATATACTAACATAGTACCGTTAAATTATACTCAGTGTCTCGATACTGGCAAAAAGTGAATATTAAATACTAAATCAAGAAATACTATTGAGCATTTATATAAACGAAATCAATGGACAATGAATCTGACAAACAAAATTTTTGTGGCCAAACGCATCTTAAAAAATATAAAAATATTCCTTATCTCAAAACTACTTAACATATCTTTTAAGTTATACTTTCTTTAGAGAGGGGCGGGAGGAAGGACATATCTAGCAACAACTTGTCAATGTATGTCAGGTATAATATAATTCTGTGTAGTTTTTTATTGATAAATTCGCGTTTTCGTTCGTTCGAGATATTTTAATTTTCAGTGCTATTAGTCTCTTTATTTTTTCAATTTTTATTAAAAGCAGTTTCTAGAATCTCAGTTAGACTAGTTTATGTTATCGGCCTAAATTATTTATTGGTACTTATTTATTTCCATACATTAAGCTTTCAGAATCTAATAGATTTTAATATAGTGTACCATTACCAAGTGACCCCCAATACGTGATGCCTATTTTAATTTACGATCACATTTACAAGCTTTTGAGTTTAAACTGGGTTTACTGTTAACAGTGAATTATTTAACTGTTCAGTTAAGTTTACGGCGTGAAACTCGCGTTTGTTTAACTTGCATTGATTTTCACGTGTGCTTTTGTACTCGTCATATTTGTATGACTTCTACTCGTAAGCGGTAATTAAGTACTTTTTAATGTGTGTATGTTATTTTAACTCAGCTGCAGGGAGCCCAAAGGAGGTTATATGTTTGACCTGTGTGTGTATGTATGTATGTACATATGTAGGTCAGATTATATGTTCCGCCGAAACTGCGAAACAGCTTAACCGATTTTCACGAATTATACGTCATTAGAACGTGACTGTTACAAAATATACCTAATATTAAAATTATGAAACATCAAATTACGCTAATTTGGTCGTCTTGAAAAAACTTTAATTACTATTAAATAGTAATATATATTAAATAAATTAAAAAAAAATGTAAAATAAAACTCCAATTTTCTAAGCGTTACAGGTTGGCGTAAATAAAATCACAAAAATATTTTAGATTTTTAATAAAAAAATTTAAGGTGACATACTCGTAGGTAGAGGATTTACACTTAAGCGGACATATTTTGTAATAAATTCTCTATATAATAGTAGAAAACACATTAAATTTTATTGTGTAGGCTTAAGATACTTACTGCGTTAGTTAGTACGATATTAAATACATAAATAATTCAGACTAAGGATATAAATCTTTCTTCTGAGCTTGATTGACTGACATTTATTAAAATATAAAATACTAGCAGAACCCGCGGCTGCGCTCGCGTTAAAACTACAAAAAAAATCTCTAAAAAGGTTGGTTTTAACTTTAATCCTCTATTTAACCCCCTTATAAGATGAATTTCGAAAAATGCTAAAACACGTATTTAATTAATATTATAGTAGAGCATTGATACCAAGTTTCAAGTAATTCTGATAATAAATATATTTTTGGATTGTATTATAACGTGTTTTTCTGTGGGAATTAGATAAACTCCCGCGGTAAAAAGTAGCCTATGGCACTCTCCAGCCATCCAACTATCTCCACACAAAAAATCACGCCAATCCGTCACTTCGTTTCGACGTGGAAGAAGGACAAACAAACAAACAAACAAACAAACAAACAAACAAACAAACAAACAAACAAACACACTTTCACATTTATAATATTAGTGTGGATTTTTAACGAAAAGTTTATAAATAAATCATACGATAATGATAAGTACGAACATTTGCTTACGTTCTGAAATTATACACTCTAGTAGGTTTTTGTAGTGATCTACCGGTACATTAAACAGAGCGAGAGGTTCATTTTATAA